TCTATCTATCTATCTATCTATCTATCTATCTATCTATCTATCTATTTATTGAAGATTGGCAGGGGAAACCGAAGTACTCGGAGGAAACCTGCCCCAGCGCCACTTTGTCCACCACAAATCCCACTTGACCAGACCCGGGATGGAACCCGGACCGCCGCGGTGCGAAGCCAGCGACTAATCGCTTGAGCTATGGCGCTATATAGACTATATAGCTATATAGACTGTAGATCTATGGCTCTACAGTCCTTCTATTGGACCTTGGTCGCTTTTTCAGTTTCTTAATCCTGTAGACGGTTTGTAGGACACATTGGACTGGGGATCAGCCCGTCCCAAGTCAGCTACCTACACACAGAACAACACAAACACAGAATTAACGCACACAGACGTCCATGCCTCGATTGGGATTCGAACCCACGACTCCAATGTTCGAGCGAGCGAAGACAGTTCATGCCTTAGACCGCGCGGCCACTGTGATAGGCATGCTACAAACATACCAACATAAATTGTTAAAATTCTTAAAAGAACAGTGAAATCTTCTCTAGCCGTTACACCAGAGCAGAGCGTAAGGTGAACTGACTGGCCGATGTTGCGCCCGTTTCTTTCCGTTTTTGTTCGAAAGGGATTTCGGATAAGCGAATTAGTGTTCAGTTAAGGACCCATGGGTAAGTTTAGTTATGAAGTTTCGTAAGTGGCTGTGACATGTTGAGACAGACGGTAGTTACATATTTTTTGATGTCCACTTAGATATTCTTTGGAGTCATGTAGTACAGTTGTCCTAAGACAAGGGAAGTTTAATCACAAGATATATCCACTTGATCATGTCGTTAGCCAGATGTATCCAATTCATATTGTCACACGTTATTACTTTAGAGCATGTTTTATATTATTCTCCCTCCAATCTATACCTAGGTCTCCCAAGTGGTCGTCTTCCTTAACGTTTTCCGACTAAAATTTTGTCTTCATTTCATTTGTCTTTCATTCCTGCTACATTTACCTCATCTTCCGTTATTTTATCACTCTAATAATATTTGATAAATAATACAAATTATGAAGCTCCTCATTTTGTAGTTTTCTCCAACCTCCTGTTACTTCATATCATCTAGGTCCAAATACTCCCCTCAGCACCCTGTTCTCAAAAGCTTTCATTCCACATACTTTGTCTATGTTAAGAGATCAATTTTCATTCTCATACAAAACAACAGGTCAAGTTACAGGTTTTTTGTATTTCGATCTTAATGTTTTTAGCTATTAGATGATAAGAAAAAGAAATTAATGCTATATCCTAACAAAAATATTAAGCAGGCGATGGCCATAGTGAAAGTTATAATTTTTATGAGCACTCGGTTGATTTTAACTGTGAGAAGGAAAATGTCATGAAGCCCAAATGTTGTCACAAACCCAGACCACCATTTCACACAGTATAATCCGAAGGATCATTACGTAGTCAAACATATTTCATAATATGTGAATTGTAATATGTGCCTTGTTATGCTGACTTGCCCAACAGTTGTCTTAGGTCTGTGTCATTTGATTGCATGTTGGCATTACAAAATCTTCAAAACCTGACACAAGTGTGTTTGTGTATATATATAAATGCAGGTCTACAATATTTCGTGATCATGAGAAAACAAAAAGTCAGTCTGGAGAATTTAACGATCCTTCATATTTTATAGCATGACGTTATTTAAGGCTTTGTGTAAAGTGGCAATCCAGGTTGCCTAATTGTACCCAAATTTAATTTGATCTATCCTTACAGTAGCCACAGTGTATTGAATTATCTATAGCTCTGTTTTGAACATTTTTTCCGGTTCTCTCATGTTCGAATGTAGGATCAAGGTTGAAACGTAGAATATACAATAAATTTGTAACCTTTGACACGTTTATCGCTAGGTGTAATTTTTCTGTATGCCTACCGGTACGTACTGTCTGAAAGGAAGCACTGGGACCACCAAGTATTATCAAGAGCTGATATATTACAAACAAAGAAACAGGTAAATAAATGGGCGAGGCTAAACGGCGCTAATGGATTATTCGAAACACGTGTAAAAACAAAGAGGAATTCGTGTGACACCAAATATTTTATAGCTTAGTATGTGCTTTTTTAACTAGAGTGTAGCAGTTCAGGAGCCATGTAACATCGATTAATATATTAAAAATGGTCATTAATGGGGCGAGAGACCTCAATATTGTGATTACTATGGATGAGCTGAATATTTAGGATTGGTTTTACTGCCAAGCTTTATAATTTATTAATCATGAATTTGGAACAATCGGGTTGTTGAACGCTGATATTTTATTTATTTCCTTGGCTCCTGCATAAGGCCGAATTCAGAACTGAAAAGTGAAAATAATATTTTAACATTAAATGTAGGGTATCCGATAAAGACAAATAAAAGGACGAAGTATGTGAATTAAAATTTGTGTTTTTTGTTGTTGTACAGAAAAGTTTAAATTTTACACCAAAACACATGTCAGAAATTACTGAAACTACCAACATATCAGGAAGGGCAACAGTATGAAGTATGCAGATCCAGAACTATGCACTACCGGTGGTGGGTGGTAATGTGTGGTCGGAAGTGAAAGTGGGGTGATCGTATAATATCAGAAACTAATAATTTTTGTGAAAAATCCATTTATTTAAAATGTTACTTATGTTTAGTAATATGTGCATCTCCAGTGTCGTCAGATTCTGTTATCCACTTCTCCTTCGCTACCTTTCTATACTGCTCCCTTCAGGTTTAATTAATTTAAATCGTACTATTTTGTTGCACTATAGAAGTGTTTAAATTTTCCGCTATGAAACTGAAATTGTGTCACCAACGTAACAAATTTAACATAGCAGGATAGGAAACATACGAAACGTAAGAAGATAGTATTAGAATCGGGGTCATGTGTTGTGCAAGGTGGTGGTCGCGTTTATAATTCGAACTTTTCTGGGAGTGAATGTATGTGTGGAATGTTTTTTGCGTACGTGAAAAAGGGCGAATTCAGTGTCAGCACGTGCAGCTCTTTTATTTCTTCCAGAAATATCTAGTTCTACTGCATTCGTCACAAAGCTAGCTAATGTCTGACCTATGACATGTATCAATTATGTGGTAAATTTAAATATAGTAATGAAATCATATACTGTAGAACGGGTGTATGTGAAGAAATGTTACACGCAGTGACTGACCTGTCGTGCAAAACAGAAATCAAGTTTTGATACTAGAAGCATAGTAAGTGCCACTGCACTGAATCAGATTCTCCTTGTGTGGTTATTGATCAAGTGGCTTTAAATATCATAGTGTGAAAATATGCCTCATGAGGTTTGAACCTTCAATTGGCTATTATTGCAGCACCATGAACTATCAGTTGCTGGAACTTATTGCTGGTATAGTAACACAACAATTTCTTTAATATTGCTACCGATTTCTTAAATCACTGATTTTTTTATATATAGGTATGTGTGGATAATTTATAAATATTTGAGAAGGCTTTGGAACCTTTCTGGATGTAGCTGTAAAGTGAAGACTCACAGTGACTAAACTGGTATCAGACTGTGGCATCCAGTCATTGATGTGTGCTTTTGATTATGCCCATCACATTTCTCTAGACATGTCATACAGAGATTTAAAATTTTTGTTATAGAAAAATCTTAAGAAACATATATTTCCAAGAAATTTTCACTCACAGGGGTGGTGCTAGATAATCAGTTGTGAAGGGTGACCAGTGCTGGACAAATGTACTTTGTCAATATCACAGTATTCACAAATGAAAATTTGTTTGCTAGGGCCAACACATAATTCTGCCTGTAAGTGAGACTTCATCTGATGTGTCAATGTATCACGGTTCTGGTGTTATTTAATGAAACACAAACACATATATAACAGGTAGAATAATATGTGAGATTTGTATGCAACAACAGTACATGCGTCTGCTGATCTATTGCTGTGTTGAAATTTGGTACTATTTATAGTACAACTTCATGAAAAACCAGTTGGAATCCTGGTCACAATTGGCTGTTCTGATTGAAATTTTCTGTGGAATTCTTAAAGCTTCAGATTGACACTGGGATTCCATATAAACAAATCAGGAAATGTATATATAGCATAAATATTTTGATGCCTTTGCTGTGCTCTAGAGAGCATAAAAATTCATTTTATATAGCTGCGTGTTAAACCATAATAGTTATTGATGATGTGTATTAGGTATAAGACATGTGTTTGATTTTCCTGTGCTACATTTGTTCAGAATACTTTGCTCTTTGTTAAATATTTGGCAAGTTAACGTTCAAGACAAACACAGAGACATATGTAAAGTTCCTATTCTAGTTATTAATTTTGAACAAAAGGTATAATGAAATAGGAGGCCATGATGCCAATTTGAGATAGTCACTGGTTTCCCACCATAGCAGTTTGGGTTTGATCCCACGTCAGGTCATGTGGGATTTGTGGTGGTTAAAATAACACTGGATCAGATACTTTGGTTTCCCCTGCCAGTATCCATTCCACTAACTACTACATATTTATTAATCACCCTGTCCTTAACACTATATTTACTCTATACTGACAGTGCCATTAAATAACAAACGAGGTTAAAATCTCCGCCTAGGGACTGGGTTTTCCAATGAAGGTTTTTTATTGTTTTCCTCGGTCACTTCAGGAAAATGATGGAATTGTACCTCAAATTATGCCTTGAATGGCTCCTTCTGCATCCTTTCTAACCCATTATTCATTAATCATCCTAACATAGTACAGTTCGAGTTACTGATAGCATTGAGAGAGAAATCAGACATAAAAATGAGTTAATATCTGGATGTACTGATATTCATTCTTGCAAACACAGTTGAGTTTCATATAATTACTATAAATATATTCATTTATTTTTAGGGTTGTTCCCTGTTTGAAGGACTGCTGTTGCCATGGCGTTGTCGGTGAATACAAAGAAGGGTTTGGTGTTTGGTATTGGAGCAGCATTAGTTGTTATAGGAGGTGTGCTTGGAGGGGTTTGGTTGTTGATCGTTGACTCAATCTTGAGTGGGGTGAGTGAAACATGTAAATTATTCATGCTGATACCAGATTAGTCCATATCCCTCACATCACATCTGTTTAGCAATGACAGTGCACAGCATACAGTACAGCATAAGTTGACCAGTTGGTGCAGGTTTTATAGGTAACCTGTGTAATTCACGGATAGCACACAGTGATTAGTATTTTCTACATGTATATATTTGCTGGGGATCATGGAAAAGTTTATATCAGATTAAAACTTTTGTACTGGTTTAAGGGTCTTTAAATCACTCAGCTACGTAATTTGAATGAATGTATGAGGCATAGGCCTTCTCGGCCCTTGCACCGCGACCTACAGTGGTCTATTCTGCTTCCAGGTACCTAATTTAGTGCCATTTGAATCAATGTGTATTGATATTTTTGTTACAGAAAATGCAGGGCCAGCTAAAACTTTCTTCCTTCCTGATAACTAACTGAAATATCTCTCCTCGTTTTCTATAATTGATGAGTTTAAACACTTTCACACAAGTAAATGTAATGCAATTATTGTGTTTCTGGACATTATCCATCATCCTCTTTTTATTTAAAACACAGTGTTTTGTAGGTTTGATTCTGTCTCCATCTTCAGATGGAACCTACTCAGTTGGGCCCAATCAGTAGAGCTCGTTCCTATCTCGAGACCATGGATAATGTCCGGAAACACAATGGTTATATTAATATACCATCATCACACACTTTTGAAGTAAATGTAATTTTATGTTCTCAACAAATGAACAATATTCATTCATTCATCAGTAATCTGTCAAGACGACAGGTCCACAGTCTCTTCCAAAACAGTTCCTCCACTTGATGCGATCTAGAGCTTTCTCCTTCAAATGAAAATATCCTCTTCTGTCCCCAAGGTCATCCAGCATCTTCTTACGTCTTCTTCCTCGTCTTCTGGTCACTTCTATCCGCCCTTCTATCTTTCCTTCAATAACTTCTTTTAGAAGGCAGTTACCGCATAAGATATGACCAATCCAATTAGCCTTCCGTTTTCTTATTTCATGTAGGATATTCCTCTGCTCACTGACTCTTAAATAACACTTCTTCATTTCTCACATAATCGCTCTAACTGATCTTCTCCATCCTCCAACACCACATTTCGAAGCTTTCCAGGTGTTTCTGATCTACTGCCCTAAGTGTCCAATGAACAATATATGATATGCTAAATTCATATTGATATCAGGTACTTTGTCCCCAACATTAGTTTTCTCATTTTATTGCTGATCATTGTCCTTGCAGCAAAGAGTGCAAGAGATAAAATCATAGTGATATTAATACAGTAAGGTCATGAAAATTGATCAGTTCAGAGGGCAGAAGTCAGCACTGTAAGAGATATTAAGGCTGTATACAAGGCTTTGACATTATGGCATTACACATGCAGCATTTACTTCCCTTTAGAATTCCATGGGCGTTTTTGCCAAGAGAATCTTCGATTCTCATTATATGCATTCAGAGACAAGGGCTGTTTCTGTCGGTGTGATTTCCAAAGTATTGTACTCATAAAAATATCTTTCAATAAGCTTTGATTTTCTTATAACGTCATTCCAGTTGGTGAGTTAATATTGTCATGTGTCACAGTGACTAAAGATGGGGTTCGGATTGGTAATTGGATTTATTAACAACCTACAGGTTGTAACTACAATTAATTATTAAACTATTGCTATTTTCACACTACAAAGTACTCCACACTAATCTCTTCAGTGTATCTCCACTAGTCCTCACAGACTTATAACACAGGAAGTATAAAAGTTTCATTAGATCACACCCTCACAATGCCACTGCACTATAGCACACATAAAGTCTTCAAATCACACGTTAAATCTTCACAGGCCGACTTCTTGTACTCTTCTGAACTCCTCGAGCTTACTGCTTGCTTGCTTTTTGCGTGCTTCTGTTGCTACTACTACCCATAACTGCTTTGAATGAATTCTGTCACTCTTACTTGCATAGCCATGGAACAGACATGGACCTACAGCAAACACATATCACATGATCACTATCCAGCCAGTCTATTGGCGCGTCAGTTGGATCTACAGCAAACACTGCTTCCTCTGTTGTTACATGTTGGACTGTGTTTACAGAGCTGTTGCCTGGCAACTCATAGTTAAAATCAGTTACAATATGTATGTAAAAATGGCCCTACATTTATTTATCTTTCAGGATTATCTGCCAGCTAGGAAATAGTTGTAATGTCCATTGCCATACACGTGGCAGTGTGTCTATCCATCGCTATTACTTCTTTGTCACTGCATTTCAAAGATTGAAAACTATTGCATTGAACCCTGCCCTCTTGCATATTTACAAAAACACACACACCATATGCAATTTATGAGTCTTTTTCTTCATAAATGTAAAGTGGAAGTTTAAATATTATTCTGAACTGTGACAGATATTGATTACATTTAGAACCAGTATAATTGTGTGTGTCTTATGGAGACTTGTTGGAGACTGTGTGTGGCACATGAACCCACTGTGGCATATCAGTGAATAAAATTTTTACTGTAAATAAATGAAATATGCAGTTTTTAGATGGGCTGTTTGCAATATTTTATTCCTTTTTTACCTTTGTCTTGTCTCTTTGTGTAAATTTCTTTACAAAATTCCCACTGTGCCACTGTGTATTCTTGGTTTCTCTTGTGTAAGAACGCCATTGGGTCTGTACATATGTTTTGTATTTATATGACATATTCCACATCCTACAGTAATTTTGACTAACTTTGAATCCATGGAATGCAATGCAATGTAATGTAAAAACTTATATAATGTTGGAATTAGTGAGTACAGCTACAAGTTAAAGTATCCCCTGACTTAAACGGTAGTTGCATTCTGAAGAGTTATCGCATATTGAACAAATTATACCTAAATTAAATGCAGCTTGCTATGCGGTGAGATCAATTAAGCCTTTTATGTCACAGGAAACATTGAAGATGGTTTACCATGCCTACTTTCATTCTATTATGAACTATGGATTAATATTTTGGGGGAACTCTTCACATAGTGTAATAATTTTTAAAATACAAAAGAATATAATAAGAATCATTACAGGATGTAGAAGTAGAGATTCATGTAGAGAATTATTTAAGAAATTAAAAATTCTACCTCTTCAATCGCAATACATATTATCGCTTCTCCTATTTGTTGTTTACAACAAAGATAAATTCAAATTAAATTCTGATGTCTATAACATGAATACTAGACAAAAATATAACTTCCACCTACCCTCATCAACTTTATCAGTATATCAAAAAGGAGTCTACTTTACTGGCATAAAAGTGTTCAACAATCTGCCACAAAGTATTAAAAACTTGGGCAATGATACTAAAAAGTTTAAATCAGAGTTAAAGAATTATCTACATGCTCATTCCTTCTACTCTTTAGATGAATACTTCAATGTAAATAGAGAATGATGTAAAATTAAGTTATATTAATTTTTAAGCTAAAATTGCCTGTACTTATGTATGTAACCTTTTGACTTGTTCTGTATCCAAAGGTACTAACCTGCTTAGGATTTATAGAATGTAAATAAATTCAATTCAATTCAATAACTCAGAACTTTTTATCATTTTTGTTACTGCTTTGGTTTCATTGTCTTTAATTTTCATTAAAAAATATACAAACCATTTAACTTTAATGTGGTTTCTTCTAGCCATTTATGAATTTTTATTCCTTATTTTAGGTAAGTAAGACTGAGAACTTATGAACAAATGTTTCATTACAGGAAATGGGCCTTACAAGCCAGTCAGAGTCATATACAATGTGGGAAGAAACACCAATTCCAATGTTCATAGAAGTATACTTTTTCAATTGGACAAATGCTGCAGAGTTTCAGCAGAGACCACAAGAAGTGGTACCAGAATTTGCAGAGTTGGGTCCATACATTTTCAGGTATAGCCCATCACATCAAGTCATAAATTTGTGCACGAATTTACCCCAAAGCAATAAATTTTTCCTTGTACCCTGTTGTTAGTTGCATATGTATAATTTAAATCTGCTAAACTATTTGGTCACCGGTCATGGTAGCCGAGCGGTCTAAGGCATGTACTGTCTTTGCTTGCTTGGAAACCAGGATCGTGGGTTCGAATCCCACTCAGGGCATGGATGTTTAGTTTGTGTGTGTGCGTTTTTCTGTGTTTGTGTACAGGTAGAGGCCTTGCGACGATCTGATCACTTGCCCAAGGAGTCCTACCGAATGTGTAAGATCTAGAAAAACCGAAGTGAATGGAGTTCATGGAGGTAGGCCTAGGCGCACTGGGGCTGTAGTGCCAAAGAAAAAAAAACTATTTGGTCATTAGCCCCAGAATTTTTGCGCATGCCAAAGAACATACAGCTAATGTGAAATTGTATTTGTGCTACAGGAATTTTTGTACCTGTGCCAACTTAAGAAATATAGACCCACCAGAATTGTATAAATCTGCTGCAGTGTGAAATGTCTTGAAGCAATTTTCAAAATAAGAGCCCAGTTGCAGTCTGAACACCCTGCATATATGTACTCTCTTCTGTGTCTAGAATACACTCCACATTGTTTCTTGGGCTTTGCTTTTCTGTCCCTGTTATCTATAATTTGTTTTACTATTGCAGTGAGCACCATACCAAAGTGAATATTGTTTGGAATGACAACAACACCGTTACTTTTCAACAAGTTCGTAGGTGGCATTTTGACCCAGAACGTTCAAATGGAACATTGAGGGATGAAATAACCAACATTAATGTTATTGCAGTGGTAAGTAATTTTTCGGTGCTTTTTAATTAAGTAAATTTAATGTATTTTTATACATAAAGAGGCATAATTCTTCATTAGATCATTCTTGATCTAACCTTTATCCATCACTTCTAGATCACACCTTTACTTTACAATTCATCTACGTGATGTGCTGCTTGATTAATTAAGCACAGGGACAACTTTACCTTGTACCTTTACTGTAGAAATGTACAATACAGGTATTCACACAAAGCACAGTGAAGGATAGACAAGAAGGGAGTGGACATTAATCTGTCCTAGCTCTGTGATTATCCATGATCTATTGTATGCCCTTGTCAGTAATCCTTCATCTTGAATAAATTGTTCAATGATTGGGGAGGGGAGGCACATGCTACCGTAGTTGGTTGAGGCACTGTGCTACAAGCCAGAAATGTCATGGGTTCAATTCCTCTTGAGGTCATTAGATTTATCAATTGATCTAATCCTTCCAGCTGCACTATGGCCCTAGGGTCAACTCAACCTCTAACAGAAATTAGTATCAGGAATCTTCCTGGGGGTAAAGGGTGGCCGGCGCATAAGGCCGATAGTCTCACAGCCATCTGTGAGAAGACTGTCTAGAGAATGTGGGAGCCTCTACTTCTTACAACCCTATGGGCCTCCATGGCCTGTTACAGGGATAGCTTTACCTTTTTAATGAATGGGACTTGTGGTAGTCACCGTAGGGTTGAGTAGGTGAACCCGTAAGTAATGGATATGAGTCCTGCAAGGGACTGCCATTAGCAAAATATTGTGGACACACAACATTTTAAAGTTTATTTGTTTCAGACTGTGGAGTATATGATACGTCACTTCAATCCCGTGGTGCAGATAATTGTGGATACACTTGTGAAGAATCTGGAACCTCTGTTTGTGACAAAAACAGTAGGTCAGCTTATGTTTGAAGGGTATGAAGATGAGCTACTCAACATCACAGCTGCATTGAATGTTTCAGAGTTTCAAGTTCCCATGGACAAGTTTGGATGGTTCTACCCAGTATGTATAAAACACTGTAAAGATTCTTGTCTTCTGGGTTCTGATCTCAGGTAGCCTTGTAGGTGTTTACCAGCATTTCAGAGGGCCCTGTTGCTTATATCTTCAAGATATACTTCTACCTCGTACCAGACTACATGGTGTCATAACACAAAAGACCAAAATTCATATCTTCACCACCTTGAAAGCCTCAAATCTCACATAATACTATGTTAATGTGAAATAATATAATAGAGATGCCATCTTCATGTTATATGCACTACATCTTACTGTGTACAGAGGAAAGTAAAATATTCTGACTCTTTAACTTATTTTACCTGAAATTTGCATGGAAACCAGTCTGATGAACTACTATCAGTCTTACAGTATAGTATAGGTACAGTCCTAGACACTAATCTTTTGTTGTATGACATTTCATTTCCACTTACAGGTAAATTTCTTTCAACGCGACAGTTAACCCTTGGCTCCTGACATGGCAAAATGCACTAAAATGACCCTTCCAATATAAAACATAGCAAAATTTCTGTAAAATTTGAGGTTCTCACAACAGTGGAAGAGTTCTGTCTTATAAGATATAATGCCTTGTAGCCTGTTGAAAGTCAACCAGCATTTCGGAGCAACATATCACCTTCATCTTCAGGGTCAAAGCATAAGCCAAGTAAGAAAGCAGCATGAAGCAGATAGCAAGCTCTTCTTGCTTGGCCTACTGTTTGACCCCAAAATGGGGGAGATATGTGCCTCTCAAATGTCTATCGACTTTCACCAGACTACATGGCATCGTATCACAGAAGATAGATCTCTTCATAGTAAAATCTCATTTAAAATCTTTGAATACCTGCAAACAAACTGGGGTGATGTCACCATGCACTGTTATTTTATCTGTACCGAGCAAAGGATTAGAAACCAAGTCTTCATCCATTTAGTTGGCAGATATTTATGAACTTTGTTGCATATAGTGGTGCACCTATTTTGCAGAAATTACACAAAATATGTAAGTGTGAATTTTGCATGTCAGATCTATGTTACAGTACAGAAGGTGGAAGAACTACATTATTTTTATGAAGATGAATAAACCTGCTCAGTGAATTAGCCATTAGACCACCAAATTTATATAACTGTTCATCTTAGTGGATTAAAGTCAGAACTATTTTATTTGTTGGAAAGTTTTACTGTACTTATACCTAATTACTCTCGTGTGTTTCTAGCGGAACAATTCACCAACATATGATGGGGTGTTCAATATGCATACAGGAACAGACAATTTAAATTTACTGGGCATAATGGATGCGTGGAATTATGAGCAGTATCCCCCATATTATGATGGAGAATGTGCCAGAATAACTGGATCAACTGGAGAACTTTTCCCACCTCTGGAAAATGTGGATAAGGTTGCATTATTTGCACCTGAATTGTGTAGTTCTCTTGATCTTGTGAAATCAGATGACCCATATTCAAAACATGGTTTAGAAGCCTACAGGTAATGATGTTTCTTGATACTTTCTAATATAGGAAACCAAAGCTTCTTCATTGCAACAACAGAATCCTAGTAACGGAACCCATCCTGATTGAGCCTAAGTTGGTCCGTGTTCTCACAGATGATTTCCTTTACCTTGTAATTGCTAGTTATATTACCTATACCAATTCCATGGACCAGGGTCCCTCCTTTAGGATCAAACAGTCGTTCAGCTACTCAAGAAACTTACCACTTTTTATAGAAGTCAAATATTTATTACCGCCCAGGATTATTGAGTTTTTGAACTTTCTCCATTGTCTGGTATTCTAAAGACCATGGTGTTTTGGAAACTGGATCTGTTTCCGTCCTCATACGAAATGGTGGAAGGCACCTGCTCTGTCAGGCCCATTAGAAAGACCTAACCAGCTAGTAACTGATCCAGTGATTGAGGTTAGCTCTTCCTAATGGACCCAGCACATTAGGTGCCTTCCTTCCTTTCACCTGAGAATGGAAACGTCGAGTTTTGATAACACTGCATTCTTTAGAATACCGCACAATAGAGGAAGTCCAAAATCTCAGTAACCTCAATTTTTATATAGCATTGTCAGAATCCTTTATAATCAGTTCATTTCTGTGTTTACAAGAGCCTTCCACTGGACTGTATTGTGAATCTGATGATCAAGTCCACTTCCTGTAACTCTGTTTCTTTAAGATCCATTTTAACATCACTCGCCATCTATACCTAGATCTTCAGAGTTTTCCAGTGAAAATTTTACATGCATTTCTCATCTTACCCATGCATGCTACATGTCCTGCTCATGTCATCCTTCTTCATCTAATCACCTGGATAATATCTGGGAGGTGTACAAGTAATGAAACTTGTCTGTATGCATATTTCTCAAACCTCCTGCCACTTCCTTACAGCTCTACATTTTTTTCCAGCACTCTATTTTCAAAACCCTCAGCCTGGGTTTGTTCCTTAGGGTGAGAGACAAGTTCCACACCCATACAAAACAGCAGATAAAATTGTACCTTTTTTTATTATATTTTAATTTCTAATAGGAAATTGAGAGTGTGAATGTAATGGGAGAAAGCAACCCCCAAAGTAATCTCTGAATTTTTCCTTGAATGTAATTTTGAGATGTTAAAGTCATTCCCAAGTATTTGAACTTTGCCAGAGTTTTAAAGGATTTATTAGTTAATATATTTATTGTGATTTTGTCCTGCACAAACATATATTTTGTCAAAGATTTAACCATGTAGGAAATACATGCTTATCACGTTGTTGATAGTAAGAATATATGATTTATTTCATCAATTTCAGGTAGTTATAGATTTGCATATGAACACTCGTGTTGCTAGCAGTGACAGGCACAAGGGAGGGTTGATATAATCAACATAGTAATGGTTAACGAGCTTTTGCAAGCCTTTAATGAATGTCATATGTTCTTCTGTTGTAGGTTTATTGGAGATGACAGGGCACTTGATAACGGAACAAAGTATCCTGACAACCGATGTTATTGTGCAAAAAGGCAGATCATTGGCACCCATGAAATTTCAGCTTGTACTGAAGAATGCGCACCAAGTGGTGTACGAAGCATTTCAAAGTGTCGTTTTGGAGCACCTGCCTATATATCCTTTCCACATTTTTACAAGGCAGATCCTTCATATCTACTAAACATAAGAGGATTAAATCCAAAACAAGATTTGCATGAATTCTATGTTGCTGTGGAACCGGTAAGTTGTATGACATAACAAATTGTCAATGAAAAATCCGTCGAGTGTAACAATGTTTTTAGGTCACTTATTTATCTCACTTGCCTTACATGTTTTGGTTCAAAAGAAACCATCATCAGAGGCACGTATTACAAACACATGAAAACACTGGCGTTGTTTAATGTACACAGTATGTAAGCTGCGTGGACGCTGTTACAGATGTCGAAGTGTAAAAGCACAACACTTTCTAGTAGCATTGAATGCACGTACAACTCTTGCATTCCATCTGAAAATTGCCCTCAAATTGAGCCGTCAATGTTAAAATATTTAAAAGTTTAAAACATTTAAAGTAAAATGTTCGGCTCCTTCTTGTTGATTCGTCCCGATGATGTGAAATGTCAACTTGAGGTTGTGTAGGCTTATGGTCGGATGTTTCTTACGCGTTGTGTGTTGTGTACACAACACGGACCAAAAATGAAACAATTCAAAAAATGTATGACATAAGTATCGTGCTTATAACATTGTCTAACATTAATCTTCAGACTTGTATACAGTTAACTCAGTTTGCTTTGGAAAAAAACCTGAACTATTTGTAGATCTTTACAGTGACACGCAGCATGCAGGATGATCTAAAAGTAACAGGATTGAAAAAGGAACTTTAGGAACACATCTTGATTTATGAAACTGCGGCCCGGCCCTTTAACCCACTTCACGTCACTAGCAAATTAGATAGTCCTGGCACATTTTAATTGAAGGTGTCACAGCCAGGGAGATAGGCCCAACATTAATAACTTGTACAGCAGTTCTGCCAGTAGGTGGCATTAGGTGTGATACATCAACAGACAAAAGAACAGGCTGTCTTGCTGTTCATACATGTGGTCATTTGAAGGTAAGCTGAGGAAGTACTGTGGGCTTTTCTGTGTAACCAAGGAACTGTTGTGTCTTTCCTAATATTAACAGTTTCAGATTCCATTACTGGGACTCTGTAGGTGAAGTCAGTGATAGTTTGACATCCTCATGAAAGTCCTTTAGACAACCAAATGCGAATGACATGACCTTAAAACTGAACAAACATGAGCTGTACAGTATAAGGGCACATTATTTCCAGTTATACTTAAAATGTGTCAGGATTTTACCACTTCTTTTATGATTGTCATATTACTACAGTGGTGTTATTAATGTGTTTGAGGGACAAACCCCTGTTTATCCATAAAATTTCAGCCTCATTTCCATAAAGTTGTAAGACCGTGTGTTGAGTTACCTGTGTAGAATAACCACTGTGTTTTCCTTGTTCCAGCATACTGGTATTCCTTTAGACGTGAAAGCACGTGTGCAGATCAACATCCTCTTACGGCCATACAAAAATTCGAAGTGAGTTTTTTGAAGTTTGTGTTGCTTATTTGGAAATTCTAGAGTTTGAAGCTAATTTTGTCATCATAATTGTGAAACTTTATTAGTCACTTAACAGTGTGCATCAGTCAGTTGATGGTAACATTTACATCATGGATTGTAATAGCATGTACAGATTCCATATTGACTGCTTTTCATAAAGTATGATAACAGTCTAATCTTATGTAGGGGCACATGGTAACGCAATTGGTTGAGGCACTGTGCTACAAGCCGGGATGTCATTGGTTCAATTCCTGAAGAGGTTGTTACATTTTTCAATTGACCTAATCATTTGAGCAGCAGTATGGCCCTGGGGTTCACTAACAGATGAGTACCAGGAATCGTCCTGGAGGTAAAGGGCGGCCGGGTGTCACGTAAGGCTGACCTCACTGCCACATGTGAGCTAACTGCCTAGAAAATGTGGGAGCCTTGACGTCTGAAAACACCATGGACGTCCACAGCCTGTTACAGGGATAGCTTTACCTTTTTTTCTTTTCAGCCAATCTTATTAAAGTAAACAAACCAAACAATACCAGGTAATTTTTCACATGATCTGTTTGCTGTAATAATGTTTTACTCCCGAGTATACAATGGCTTACCTCAGTTGCTCCACTAATCTGAAGACATGAAAACTTCTGTGAATTTCTAACCCATTGAGTGATATATCTTCTTTTTCAGACTGTTTAACAATGTTCCTAAGGTAATGATTCCTATGCTATGGTTCACCCAGTCTGCAGAGCTCTCTGATAATTTGGCAGACCTGACAAAGCTTCTAGTCAGTCTTCCTGCAATTGGTTGGGTTACATTTTTTGGCTTGGCTGGAATTGGTGCCCTGCTGATAATTTGTGGCATAGTCATAACACTGAGGAGAGGATGGGATGGCGATGATAGCGACAAACTCTTAGCAAACGACTCCTCGTCAGGAACGCCAGTTGTAAGAGAGGTGGAAAGGAATAGGGAGGAGGAGAAGTAGAACAGAATGGACATGAAAGACTACCAGAAAGGTGGGCATCATTTTTTATTATGTATTCTTGTTAGCTTAGTTTACCTATATCAGACAGTGACCATCTCTTGTCTAGTGGTCAGAGTTCCTGGCTACAGATCTAGAGGCCTAGGTTCGATATCCGGCACTACCAGATTTTCTGAGATGTAGTGGGTCTGGAACAGGGTCCACTCAGCCTCGTGAAAATAACTGAGGAGTTACTTCAAGGAAATAGCGGCTCTTGTCAAGAAAACCGAGATTAACGGCCATTGGGATTTGTTGCACTGACCACGCGACACACTATTCACTAAAGTTGGCACTAACTTTGCTGACAAGTGGTGGCCACTTGGTCGGTATAGTTTGCTTGCAGACTACAGGCCATGGAGTTTTGTGTGTGTGTTAGCCATGTACTGAATTACTGCAGCGGCACAAGCGTGCAGTCCAGCTGGCCAAGTGTTGCATTAAGAGAGTGCATCAGTTCTTGTATGTAATAAACTACCACAAAATAACGTCATTCTGAGAAGTGCCATATGAACTCATATTCTTATATGCCTAGAAACTGATGATGATTTGAAGATCTCATTTATGAGTTGATATACAGCTTCTAGGCTGTGGTCTGGATGCCTGAATTGTCAGGTCTCAATTCCTGACTTTTCTCTTCTCTGTGTCATCCAGACCAGCTCTGGGGCCCACTCAGCTTCCTACACAATGGATACCAGGGGCTTTTTCTCAGGTGTGAAGCTGACTAGTGCTGAGGTTAAGAATGGTGGAGCTATACCTCCACTTACTCCTGCATGTTCTTGATGTGATGCTTAATTAGTAATTACACACAGGGACAGCTGTACATTTGCGATATTATTTTGACAGAATTTACAGTCTTTGCATTCAAATCCTTTTCTCCTTAATAGAATGTATTATATCTTAAATAATTAAAAGTATTGAGTTCTTCTGGTGTCTTGAAGAGTATTATTTTTGGGAATATGCTGTAATCTGTAGAATAGCCTACCCATAGAGGATGACTGTATCGGATACAACACCACCTTGAGGACAGTACTTCTCATAGTCACCATTATGAGAACCAAATCCACCAGTGAAGATCTTACTTCTGATTAGTTGCATTGTTCTGAAACCAGTTATTTTAGGTTTTCTTTTTTCAGTAACTTGGTGTAAAATTCTGTAGCTATTTTATTCACACTGTATGTTGAGTGTAATAGAAATGGACCATAAATTGTATAATTGTTAATTCATTGTTATATGCTTTTCCCAGAACATTTGTTTAACTTGATATTTAAAACAACTGTAAAAACAAAAGGCTGGTCATGGTAGCCGAGCGGTCTAAGGCATGCACTGTTTTCGCTCACTCAGAAGCCGGGATTGTGGGTTCAAATCTCACTCAGGGCATGGATGTTTGTGTGTGTTTTTCTGTGTTTGTGTACAGGTAGAGGCGTTGCGATGAGCTGATCACCTACTCAAGCATTCCTACCATATGTCTAAGATCTAGAAAAACTGAAATGAATGGAGAAGTTCATGAAGGTAGGCCTAGGCCCACTGGGGCTGTAGTGCCAAGGAAAAAAAAAAACAAAATAACTTAATATAAATGCTGGATTCAGTGTTCTCACAATGAAAGTTGTGTTCATCTGAGATGTAATGTCATGCAGTTCGGAAAATGCCTGGTGTTTTGGAACAATACATCACCTCAGTCTTGAAGATCGAAGAATAATCCGAGGAAGACACCAGCTACACTGGCTGCTCATTTGCTTCCTGCTGGTTTCTTGCTTGACTTGAAGATGGAGGCACTATGTTCCTCTGAAACATTGGGCTTTTTCTGAATTAAATGGTACCATAACCCAGAAGTTCATATTCAGTTTATTTAAACGTTATACATCTTATAGAACTTCATCACAGTAATATTGAATCTTGCGAATTTCACGGGATGTGAAGACAAAATGCTGACTTAGCATACTTATATTCTCATGGTGATATGTCTAGTAAATTCCATCTGATTCATTTTTCTTTCCTGTTGCAGACCAGTACAAATTATGTTAATACCTTCACTTCCTGCACACCAGCCAATCCAGTCATAGTACACTAGCAGTCTGCAGTATTTCATACTAAGGAAATGAACAGCAAACAATCTACAGGCATCCAAAGAACTGCAAACTGTAGCTACATGCTCCATCTAGCAACAGAGGAGAAGACTACATGCTTAAAGTGCAATGTGAAAGAAATATTTTGTCTTGTTGTGGCATGTTACTGTCTGATCTTAGTCAAATAAAGTGGTGAAGATACAGCACCAGTAAATGGCCAACTGTGAATATGGGAGTGAATGTGTTAATATATTTTGTTGGGTAATGGTCAGTCATGGCCTGTCGGGTTGTGTACTGATGATGGTATTTGCTCTCTCCATGACAATAAGTGTAAAATAAAGGTAAGAATTTTGAATCATTCACTGGATCTCTGCCTACCATAAAGTGAATGCACTTCTTCCAATTCTGATATTTTGCATATGGAGCTTGTGCTGGTAATAGCAGATACACGGGTAACTAATACTAGGAAGGGACACTAAATTACAAAATATGCATGCTTTTAGTGGTGTAAGAAATTTCAAAGACAAAATTTGCCCTCATGATGTTCCACCTAGTGGTGACATTAAGAACATGAAACTTGCCTCCACTTCCCCATACATGTTTGTGGCATGGTGCTTGAGCTCAGGGATAACTTTACGTTGTGATGTGATGTCATGCCACAACGTCTGGCATACAGACACACAACGATTTTAGAGTAACCTGCTGCCTTCATAGTGAGGGTAGAAGGAAGCAAAGCAGGGGAAAGTGATATATAAATATTGGTTACACTGAAACATTGGTACCTGTACACCACAGTGCATGGCATCACATCCCAGAAGACTGTACACTTAAAAACATAATGTGTTCTTTGAAATGCATAAGTTGAATTTCTTTTTGTCATAAGATATATTAAATTTGTTGATGTTAATTTGTTAAAATGTTTGTAAGTGGAGGGTTCTGTGTTTGTTAAATTAACTGGAAGTCACAATTTATTAGTCTGTGCAACATTCATAAATGTGAACTCTTCGTTTCTTGAAAGTTCATTAGTAGAGGTTCACCTGTAACCTCAATATCCTCTGCAGTGAGAACTTCAAATCCCATGTAACTTTGTGTGTGCCTTTATCCTAACAGTGTTTGTTCATTAACCAGTGGAAACATGAAGACTCAGAATTGTACAGTGTTCTCAATTTGTACTTTATATCCTGAATACCTGTGTGCTGTGATAAGTACGGTGACAGCTGAGTGTAGTGGGGGGGTGGGTCTGATCTTTGGGACCTCTCTAGCTTGGGTATATTTGGCGAGTAATGAGAGTTGCATGAAGGAGAGAGAAGAGAACAATTTTTAAAATGATAATTTACATGTGATTTACAGTCAATTTGTGATGTTCTTCCATAAGATAAAGTTATCGTTAGAGTTTCAAAAATGAGGCTTGTCTTATGCCGATAGGAAGTTATAAGTATATTAAAAGAATATTTTGCCTCTTTCTGTAACAATTTATGGACATAACAGTTGTCGTGGTGCAAATCTAAGTCCATTTATCCTATGTTTCTTTTTATAGTTTAATATTTTCATAGACATTAAATTTAAAAGTGCCTGAGAAGAAAGGTGACTTTGGTTGCTCGTCCCATGTACTGTATGAATTAATGGGTAGGGTTAGTGCATAACTGTATACAGTGAGTAGGTTCTAAAGGATTCTGACGATGGTGTATAACACTTGGAATTACTGGGTTTTTAGACTTGCTCCATCATATGCAATTTTAAGAAACACTGAAGAACTATATTTTGGAAACTGGGTGTGTTTCCATCCTCAGGTGAGAGGTTGTTGACACCTGCTCAGTTGGGTTTGTCAGAAAGAGCTAACCTCAGTCACTGTCCAGTGTAAATGTTATGTCTGTCTAACAGACCCAACACTGATTGAGGTTATATCTTTTCTAATGGACACAATAGTGATTATGGACAGTGACTGAGGTTAGCTGTTTCTAATGAACCAAAGAGATTAGATGCCTCAACCCTTCATCTGAGGACAGAAACAGATCCAGTTTCTGAAATGTTGTGTTCTTTAAAAGGTAAAATAATATCCACTGACATATATTTTGCTATACATTCACATGTGCCTTCATTTTTAATGGTGCCATGATTTTACATGTAACCTCTGAAGACTGGCAATATTTGTAACAAATTTGGTTACAATTGTAAACAGTCATGCTGATGGTCATTTGTGCTTACTTGGAATGTTTTGGAAAAAGATTTGTAATAACAGTTGTTTGTTCATAGTCCATATTAGTGGCTACCTTTATGATACTGTCTTGGTTAAATTCTTCAAAGAACTATTTGATCATAGTCCAGGATTAATTACAAATTTTTATCATACTTTCTGTTTCAGATGTGTGAAATGTGACTGGATGTGTGCTAATATAGTTTTAAATACAATGGGTCCACAAGTTAGAATACACAATGAGTTATTTTTTGATAAAATGGTGTCATTTTCCCTGGACACCATACAAAGTGGTTCAGAATAAGGCTTCTTATCGACAGGCATCTGTTATGTGTCACCTTTGGTGTTGCATCTTAACAGAGCTCTTTCCATATAGCAACACATCTGATTGTTTTATGAGATGCATCATCGATTTTTCTGTAAAAGGAGTCTTAAACTCAAAGGAATCATTAATAGATATATTTTTTTGTTATTACATACTTGTGTTATGTAATATGTAAATAGACTTGTGAAGTGCAATATATAATAGATCTTTGTTACAAAATTATCATTGGATATAATGTAAGATTACTAAAATCAGTTTATTAACTTTTTTATCCTGTTTGGGTTAGTTTGAGTTTGATTCAATTATATGTACGCGTATATTGATAATTTTTAACACCATAAGCAATCGACTGCAAGTGTGCTGGGCCAGGTGCAAGAAAACTGGACAAATTCAAAATACCAAGAGTAGAAAAACAAATTTCTTTCATTCAAGGAGCACATTCTTGCAGTGTGTGAAACAAACATCAGTATTACTGTAGTGTGAGCAGCCGATCTAGTCACCGTGCCCTTTTCCTCTTCACATGATACGTGACATCATGTGACAGGTAAAGCTGAGCTCTAGAGTTGTACTGCTGCTCCTCCTGACCTTCCTCCCTTCCCCATCTTTTTTCTAAGTCACGCTATTGGCTGTTGCTTTTGAATATTTCTGCATGGAGACTAGGGTGACTGCTCTACTTATTACTGATTGAAGAACATAATATAATCTGAAGAAAGCAGTCTTCTGGGATTTGGCACCATGTATATGTGGTGTTAACCGACGTTTCGGAGGAACGTATCATGGAGGTGATACGTTCCTCCGAAACATCGGTTAACACCACATATACACGTTGCCAAATCCCAGAAGACTGCTTTCTTCATAGTCACCGCTGTGAAAGCCTCAAATCTTACATAATATAATCTAACATAACCTTCACCGAGAACTGCATAAACTAAAAGGACCTAACATAATGATACATAAATACTGTTCTCATAACTGCCTGGTGTTGGCTGACTGTATGGCAAGGTGACCCTTTTCCTGGCATAATGGATATCATATTTGAAGACCGCTACTCAGAAGATAACAACCAAGAAGCTGATACTGTTGATCTCACATAACATACATACTGTGTATGTTTCAAGCCTTACTTGGGAGCAACTTAAAAGCAATTTCTCTATAAGTCCCAGGCTGTGTTTCTGCTTGTTTAGCAGTTGCCAGAAATTGCTTTGCTGTGGAAGTTCTGTGTGGAAATTGACATTGCGATTATGCAAAATTCTTATCCCTGCTAGAAACTGAGCCATGCAGCTAGTCATATCATAATACATGTTAGAGAGTCCTTGAGAATATAATAGTCACTCTGCTAGTCAAGAAATTTAAAACTAATGTAACCCAGAGATTCATTACCACATTCTTAACATGGCAGAGTTGTAGTAGGGACCAGTGGCAGTAACGGAACCTTCAGGTTGCATAAAGGGCTGGGAATGTCTTCCATTAGCTGTGTCACTATTACCTTCTCAAGGACTGCTCCATGAATTTAATTACAACACTGGATCATGCTATATTCTGTAATACTTCATATGTACAAACATAATATATCTTCATACACTGTATCCTGTGTTGACATTTGGAAATGTATTTTTGTTACTACTGAATATTCATAATTTTGATTTCCTTGAAACTTTACATATTGAATGGATGAAAATGTGATACTGTATATTATTTTTTTCTTCCTGAAGAAATATGTGACTTTAAACTTATCCAGAAGATTTATGATTGCAGTTCTTGGATTTAAAAATGATGTACTTAAAGGAAGGAAATAGACTGTGTTTTCATATGAATTCCTTGTTTTATTCATTGTGTGGAGAATAATGACAGGTTCAGGGAAAGGTAAGCAGCAGGCTAGGGTCAGGACATTGGTGTTATTTTGGGTAGATGCATGATTACATTAGGATAGACCATTTTCAGAACTAAGTTGACATAAGGAGGCTAGGCCAGATGCAGGCAGTGATAATGCAGTGTTAAGGACTCTTGTTACATCTACTATTAAAAACCTGAAGGAATTTAAGAATTTTCCTGTTTTCTCAATCCTTACCTGTCATCACTGCCCCTCTTCAAGGACTCCATAACAATCAATCATGATCCAAACTCTCCACATGACATACTTGTGCTTTGTATCCAGCATGGGTACCTCTAGAGCTACTGGCAGTGTGTCCTAGTCTGAGGATGATGTGTTCACATTGGTTCTGAAACACAGTAGGTGTGTTTGGAGAATCCTGTAAGTCAGGGGGGATTAGCTCAAGGGCATGTGATGGCAGAAACAGGTAAGTACCATTGGGATGAGGCTGTTAGTATACTCTGGTCCACTGGTTCATTTCATTACGTTACACTTAATTCACTCAGACTCTTGAGACAGGGTCGATGTTAGCTCAGAACTTGTGCTGAAGGATATGAAATGGCAATACATACATTCACCAATTAAATGTGAGGCAGCAGCTAAGACTGCTCTCAAAGTTAATTATAAAACATATCTTCTGGCATGTGAAATCATCTAATCTGATAGAACTTTACCAGGGATTTTGAAGAAGTGTTGAAGAATAAGCACTTTGCTACAACCATCACCTTGGATGGATATGCACCCTCAATCATTCAAAGCAGAAATATCAGCAGGGTCATTACCAGTGATGCTCACATTAATGGGATGAGAGACAATAAACTTTCAATTTATTCTCCTGAATTCAGAATTAATGCTAGAACCATATTTACATAATTGTAAACTTTAATAGTTGATTGTCTTGCATACACAACATTAATTTAATGTTTGTACATTCTTTGAATGAACTCCATAAAATGGATGCATTGTGCAAAAGGCATGCAAATTTTATGTTTAGATCAAAGTGATAACTAACAAAATTTTGAGTATCTGAATTTTTCTTTTGTATACTGAACTCAGAAGATATCCAACATTAGGTGATGCATTTCACATAATGAGCAACAGTTCAGTGGCAGATCAGTTGGCTTTAATGCATGAGAGCCAGGGTTCAATCCCAAGTGATAAGTTTTTTTTCTGCTGTATTGTGCCACTGAATGCAAGCTATGACAGAAATTTAATAAAAATTTCAAGATCAGGAAATAAAATGGCTGTTGGTTAAGAGAGTTGTATTTGAGGGAAGTTTAGGTAGAAAGAAAATGGTTGTCCTAATGGGGATGGTAAGGTATTTTGTAAGTTTGATGTCAGCTATTAGGTGACTGGTTAAGAGTTAGCGTTAGCTCATTGGTAAAGTACTTTCCATGTAAATGCGCATGAATTCAGCGCTTAATGCACATTTTGTACATACAGCAAGAAATGTAAACAAACCCCAGTGCTTTTTGATGACACCACCTCCAGGAGCACGAAAACCCAGAACTTTTTGATCTAATGACCTTGATGGACCTTCAGGAGCACAGTATTGATTGCAGATGATGTTATTTAACCTTGAATGAGACTGAGTAGCCAATCAGCATTAAGGGGCAGGGCCAAGCAAATTCAGTGCTTAATTCACATATTTTACATACAGCAAGAAATGTAAAGAAATACCCGGTACTTTCTGTTACACCACCTCAGGAGCACGAAAACCTGGAACTTTTTGTTTTAATGACCTTGAACGACCTTCAAGAGCACTGGAGTCATCGCAGATGATATCATTTAATCTTGTGTGAGACTGAGTAGCCAATCAGCATTAAGGGGCTTACTGCACAATTTGTAGGTACAGGAGGAAATGTAAGCGAAATCGGGACTTTGGGAGCATTCACGAGCACAGGAGTTATTGCAGATAATGTAATTTCTCCCAGGACTGAGACTGAGTAACCAACCAGCATTAAGGGGCAGAGCACATAAATGCACACGAATTCAGTGCTTTCTGCACTATTTATAGGTACAGCAGTAAACCCCCCCCCCCCCAACTTTTTGATCTAATAACCTTCAACGACCTTAAAGAGCAAAGCACTGTCCATAGCTCTGAGCTTTTAGTCAAGGATTTGCTATAATTGCTGTGAAAGACATTCAACAAAATTGTGTGTGTGTGAAGCATGGTCTAGCAATGAGATTGATCAGGCCATCAGATAACACTGCTTGAGGTTCAAGTGGATAATGGCTGCCTAGTTGCCTTACTTGTTTGCACAATCAAGACTGCAAAGTTCATCCTTGTCTCATTTCTTGGAGATAAACCTTCCTCTGTATCAGTGCTACCAAATCCTCAACTAAAAGCCCGGAACTGCAGCAACGCTCACGATAGTCACTGGAGGTTACTCGACCAAAAAGTTCAGGGTTTTGTTTGCAGCTAAACGCTGGGAGCTGAAGTTACACACCAGTTTATGAATATCCCATAACACACAGCAAGAATTTAATTTTTATTTACATCACAGTTTCTTTAATAATTTACATTCTGTTACTTGCATTCACTGAAACCATAATGAAGTTTAAACTTCTGAGTGTCTATAATAACAGACATTTTTTGACAAACCAGCAACACACACTCAAAATTAACATGTCTAAAAAATACTTAAACATCCATTAATTAATATCAGATTTGTGCCTCATTTTAAATCATAAAATAATTCTCAGAATAAAAGGGTGCAGTCTTCTTATAAGGAAGCAGTATGAATGAACAAGATAGTGAATCCTGAGACCTCTTCATGCAGTTCTGGATCAAGATGTAATTTCTATTCTACACAGCTGGTACAGCTCATATTTCAGTTTTGTGTAGAGCTGTCAGCTGTGTTCTACTTCACTAAATGTAATACACAAAGGAAACCTCTGCTCGCTTCACACATCACAAATGACACACTGACTTCATGGGTCTTCAAGTGAAGTTCCCCAAAGCAAGGAGAACTCTACTGTGTATAACCATTAAGATGGATGATGCCCAATAATTTGACTTTAGGTTCTGCTGTATGAAGAAACTGGAACATGAACAAGACACTGTCAATAATATAAACACCCTAAATATATTTTCCCAGCATTTTATGGAACCTGAAGGTTCATTATCATGTTCACAAGAGACCTCCACTGGTCCCTATCCTGAGCTAGATCAAACCAATCCATACCATCCCATCCTATCTCTCTAAGATCCATTTTAATATTGTCCACCCACCTATGCCTTGGTCTTCCCAAGGGTCTCTTTCCTTCTGGCTTTCCCACAAATATCCTATATGCATTCCTCTTCTCCCCCATTCGTGCTACATGCCCTGCCTACCGCATCCTCCTTGGCTTGATCATTCTAATTATACTTGGAGAAGAGTACAAGTTATGAACCCTAAATATATAGCAAACAAAAATAATAAAAGTGCAGATTATTGTTGTAAAGGGTGAGTAAACATGTGGGGGAAGCCAATAAACTTACAAGCTTATGAAATACAGCCATAACTGCCAAAATTTTTAACAAATTTATTAGTTTTGCTTAATTACATAAGTCAGAGCCATCATCATCACCTACTGTCACTCCCCCATGGTGGGCCACTTTATGACAGAACATCCATCTTCAGGGTAATCACATGACACTGGTGTCTGAAATCTGTGATACCAGCAACAATTTTTAAAGAATAAGAAAAAGGGCATTACTCAAACTTACTTGTACATTTTTCCAAAATAAGATCCATTTAACAACAAACATATTTTTTTGTGATTTGGCCTACGTGGTATTCTTTCTTGGCTTATCCTTCAACCCCAAAGATGGCAGCTGTATATTCTTTCAAAACATCAACCGACTATAAGTATGGTAACCACGGCCGTGACAATCTCAAATCCTATAAAATTCTGCATGCCCAACATCTTTTCCTTATGCCACATGTGCTAATGGCCGTGTTCCTGCCCCACATCTCTACTCTGGAAACATACAGTCAACTATCCATGATTGCTTAGTCACAATTCCAACAGCTGTTGACACCTAGGGGCTGCCTCTTGCATATCTGTCTGTGAGCTACATAAGACCCACTTAACATGGGCCTTTAAGAACAAAAGTACTTCACAAATTGAAATGTTTCATTTGTTCCAGAAACCTTCTGTTGCTGCCGGAGCGTAAGGCTGACAACCTTGTCTTCATCCATGAGCCGAATATCTAGAAAATGTGGAAACCTCAACATCTCACAACCCTATGGGCCTTCATGGTCTGTTACAGGGATAGCTTTACTTACTTTACCTTCTGTTGCTACTGAATTCATGATTCGAGTGTAACCTTCATACTCACAAGAATGAAGTATAAGCTATAATCTGTCTCTCTGGAGCTCTACAGCCCTTTGTTGGGCCACGGCTGCCTTTTTAGTTCCTTGATCTTTCTACCCAGACAGCAGGACTCCTTGCACAAGGGATCAGCCTGTTGCAAGGCTGCTACCTACACACAGAATAAATGCACACAAACATCCATGCCTCAAGTGGGATTTAAACCCACTATCCCTGTGTTTCAGTGGGAAAAGGCAGTTTATGCCTGAGGTCACATGCAAACTGTGACAGGCAAACTTACAGGAGGTCTAGAAGGAGGTATCGCTCAGTGTACGTTATTAAATACATATATATAATGGAAGGAAGGGTATGGTACATGCTTATACAGTCCTCTTTACATGCCAACAGAACTTTACAACATCTCTGGAACATTTTTTGATTCAATGAGTGCTTAACATACAAACACAAGGGTTTAGTATTCAGTTGACCTCAAACTGAGGGACATTAAATGGGAGTTATTTTGTATGGGAATTTGTCCAGACATTCTCCTTGTGATGGGTACTTGTCTAAATTGCTCAGCCTTGTCATTCAAACTACAATTGTGTGTCCATGTTACAGTTCTCATCTGCATCTGCAAAAGACATTTTATAGTAACTATTTTACTGTTCACAGGGCACAAGGTAGTGTAGTTGGTTGAGGCACTATGCTACAAGCCGGAAGGTGACAGGTTCAGTCCTGATGAGGTCACTGGATTTTTTCAATTGACCTAATCCTTCCGGCCGCACTATGGCCTTCGAGTCGACTCAGCCTCTAGAGATGAGTACCAGGAATTAGTTAAAGAATTTTCCTGGGAAGTAAAGCGCAGCTGGTGCACAAGGCTGACAACCTTACCGTTATCTTTGAGCCGACTGCCTAGAGAAAATGTGGGACCCTCAACGTCTCAAAACCCTATGGGTCTTCACAGCCTGTTACAGGGATAGCTTTACATTTTACTTACTGTTCACAGGTTGAGAACACATGTTCTATACCAAAATACCAATAAAAATAATGAAAATATAAGTTGACTGTTGTTTAAATGTGGAAGCGTCTTTCTTCACATATTTCAACATTCAGTATGAGGTACTAAGCAACCTGAGTTGTCAGTCGACTAAGTGGGTGGGTCACTAAACAGGTATGTAAGCAATTCAGGGTAGCTCAGCTGACATCGGTATTTCTGAACTAGTTCTTGTACCTTGATGCGTCGTCGTAAATGAGGTGGTTGATAACTGAAATCAGAAAGTAAAGTTTGCTTCAGCAATTTAACGTCCTTACTGTCAAGGTTAACCATGACTTACCAGGCTTATTTACAAAACCTGAAAAACAGATAATTATATGCCTAAAGGAATCACATACAACAGTAAAACAGCCTCAAAGTACTGATCATAATTTATACTCCTGGCTTGATTACTATACAAATGTAGCATGTTGATATCACACAATAAAACACTTCTGTTCAAGCATGACTTGAGTAAACAGGACAGATGCTCTAATCAACTGAATCACACGATGAGATTCCAAAACAGCAAGTCGTCATTGTTTATATATTTTCTTAAGTGACATACTCAGTACTTTCTATTCACTATACACCATCACAGGAAACAAACCTATCCATAATAAATCAGAAGCCTACAGGGACAGGACTACCTGCTGTATAGGATGGTTTCACGATGATCATACCTGTCATTATCAAGTCTCCTGCGACGACACATGTTCAGTGCAGTCTGGCGTACCATGGAGCCAAGAGCCCGTCGACTTACGACCATTCCATCGACTAGAGGTGTTGCAATGCTTGTCCGACCACCTGCAGGGCCCTGAAGTTTTACTCGAAACAGTCCACTGGCCAAGGCATGCAGGCATATAAGAAAGCAGTCACGTTCGTCTGGTACTCTGCCACTGCCGCCTTCGAGACCTGTGGTGGTGGCTCGCAGCAAGTCAGCTGCAATAACAGCAATTCATCCTGAATATCTGTTCCTATACCAAGCACTATAAACAGGTATCTTGATGTACTAATAGAACGGTATGTTCAACACAGTTCTTGTTATTTGGGAAGTGATATCAACTCAGAAGGGAAGATGGAAGAACAGATCAAAAGAAGAAACACAATGCAATACATCATTCTATAAATTACTGTCACATGTATGAGTGTGACTATATAGATGTGGTTTCAATTAGTAACTGAATTTATTAAACTCTTGCAGATCAGTGACTACAAGTAATTATAACCGTTTCCATTAATTCACACACTTTACAGTTCACAAGAACACACATTTGAGTCTTCGCAGTCTGCTGTGTCTTCACCAGTCTTCTGGCAACGGCTTCCAATGGCGGATGTGCCCCTTCCTCTGCATTCCCAAAATGTCCCCTGGTTTCAGCTACCAGCTTCTCACATAAACATCTCACAACAACAGAACCCCAGCAATTATCCAACTCACTCCACTCACTGACTCTGTCCACTAACTTGTCCTGCTTATAACATCTCAGCACACACCGCACAGAAAACACCGTTACTCTGTTGCTGTGTCATTGTTGCGTTTGTGTCTGTTGGTTCCCATGTGATTGCTAATTAGCCGTTGTCTACCAATGGCTGTTGCCTGCAGATCCATTACCAAGCAACGGTTGTTGTGCAGTTGCTTATTCTGTGGCTGTTGCCCAGCAATGGGTCTATATGCCTCAGTATATTCTGAACAGTACTAGCAAGCAGTGCCAAAACATGAACCTTTACAAAGAGGAACCAAAGCAAAATGTTAGCAACAGGTATGAAACTTTAAGAAGCATTAAGAGAACCAGAAATGAAATTCTCAGAGCACCCAAAAATCAGAATTTGTTAATAGGATTAAGAGAGTAATGATTATAACGGTCTGGACATGTGAAAAGAATTGCTAGAATAATGATAATAAGGAGGTCATTAGAATTCATTTTCAAACAAGGAGACCTATGGGATGATCCACAATGAGACGGTTCTGCTAAGTACTCAGGCAGCAGAGGAAATAGTTGGATGGAAATAAAAAATGGAAGATTTATGGAAAAAATAGGAAATCTTAGATATAGTGTGAAAGTCATATTCTTGCATACACTTACCAAAAACAGTAAACATACATTAAAAAGTACATAAGATATAAAAGTGTCTGTTATGAAGTGTATAAATGTTATTCTGAACAGCTTCTGGATATATGTACTGTTAAAGAAACATATTCCCCATTGATAGTGTCTCCACCTTAATGTGGTGGTGGGGTGTGAGCGCTCCTGAGACCCTGAGAGCTATGCCGGCAGTAGCACAGCTATTGCTAGGGTTACCCATGCTGGATAGGTCAAGGGGTAGGACGCAGATGAAGAGGGATACCCTAGTCCTCCAGGTTAGGTGTTGTGCATGAGGCTCACAAACTCACATAAAAACTAAATTGTTTGGGAACCAGATAATCAGATTCGGTTGGATGGATTGAACAGGAATCAACATCAGCAAAGGAGATGAGATGGTTGGAGGATCTACATGATGATCTCCTTAAAATGAAAGTGAAAGGATGGAGAGGAAAGATGAACAGAGAAGCATGGAGGCAGATCATTCATGAGGCCAAAGTTCGCCCTGAGCTGTAGCACCAAGGGGAATGAAAGAAACATATTTCACCCAAATCCATCATGTGGTTTGATAATGACCCATATGGAAGGCCAAACAAACATGAACTCCATATTACAAATTCACTTTGTACACTATTACTGTTTTATTGCTAGTGGGGTGGGACTAAGTCCTTTGTACTGCAGCCACTTCTGGCCTATTGTACCAGCCCCAGATGATTGCTGAGGGTGATTGTGGAGCAATTGGTGGAATGAAGATTGGCAGGGGAAACCGAAGTACTCGGAGAAAACCTGCCAAGGCACTACTTTGTCCACAACAAATCCCACTTGACCAGACCCGGGATCGAACCCGGGCTGCCACAGTGGGAAGCCAGTGACTAACCGCTTGAGCTATGGCGTGGCCTATACTTGGTACACTAGGTCTAAGTGTGTATGAA